CAACAGGATAATGCACCATGTCATAAGGGTCGAATCGTCATGGATTGGTTCGAGGAACATTCCAGTGATTTTCAAGTCAAGTCTTGGCCCCCAAATTCACCTGACCTTAATCCCATAGAGCATTTGTGGTCCTACTTGGAAAACCAAATTTGTGCTGCCACGCTACTCCCTCGCAATGCGAGGGAATTGCAGGACCAGCTGGCGAGCGCTTGATACCAGATACCTCAGGCTACCTACCAGCACCTTGTGGAATCAATGCCATGGCGGGTGCTAGCAGTTTTGAGGGCTAAAGGTGGTCCTACATGTTATTAGCAGGGTGGTCATAATGTAATGGCTCTTCGGTGTATATATATATATATATATATATTGTAGACTTCCACCAGGGAATGTTGACAATCACATAGTCGCTTTGATAAATGTCCGAAATATATACTTGGTCTAGTTACGTTCCTCTCCCCGGTATGCCCTACATCAATGTTTTTTTAAGGTTGAATGTCACTGCCTGGTATACATTTAACTGGTACTCAGAGCACTGATGTTTCTCCTTATCTATCCTCAGCAGATATTAAAATATCGAATAAATGTGATAATATTAACGACTAAATTAATATCAAATCGGATATAACATATACATCGGACATTCATCAAAGTGACTATGTGATTGCTGACATTCACTGGTGAAAGTCGATATTCTCTTGATTTCAATCATTCATATATATAAAATTTATGCTATCAATCACAATATGATCCGATTCTCACAGAAATCTTGTTTCTTTATCACGTCAAAATTTTTTAAATCCAAATTAATAAATAAATTAAAAAATCTAATTCTTAATTCTTAAAAATCTCAATATATTTTATGTGCGAAATGTTTACCATTTATTTAATTAGTTCTTCTTTTGAAAAATAAAGGAAATGCGTATAGTTGCGCAAAACCTGAAAAAAAAATTGCTTTTTTAAATGTTTTTCTGGTTTTTATTTCACTATGTTCATAATGAATTGCGACTATACTAGAGTCAAACGAAAACACGAAACACGAAAAAAGAAACGTGAGCTCTGAAAAACTGATTTTTAATATCCAGCCAGACACCTGACTGGATATTTCATTAAGTGTATTACAATTTATGTCAAGTGATTTCTCTTTAACAGAAAATCTATTTTTTAACTTTAGGATAGTGTTAAGGATTCACCGTTGATAAACTTCTAGGAAGTTACATACTAGTGGGTTATGTAAGAAACCATACTCGCAATGCCATCTTACGCCATTTTCCCTTCTATCGTTGGTCCTTAGAATCTTTATTTACCTAAAATATCTTAATTTCATGCTTTTTTTTTAAACTATTGTCAAAAATTGCGTTCAAATAGACTCAAAAATAGATTTTAATGATATGTTGTTGTAGTTAAGTCGCCAAATCATTAACAGCTAATATAATATTTGAATACAACTTTCAAAAAATAAAATTAAGATTATTTAAATTAAGATTAACGCAAAAAGCGAAACAAATATTTAGGGGTCTAAGCTATTGAGATCATATTTCCCATATTACGGCTAGATCCCAGATCTCGAAAATCAAGAATTCAAAAAGACGAAAAAAGGTAATTCAGAGAGTTTTTGCGCCTGATTTCGTAATTTAAGATATTGTCTGCACAAATATCTTAGCATATTTAAGAATGAATCTTGAATCAGTGCCTTGAATCAGTACGATCAGTACATCTTAACCTTGAATCAGTACAATTGTATCTTAGTACGTGAAATTACGATTTCCTCTTCTAGTTCTAGTGGTTTTCACTTAAGATTTATAACGGTTTTGTTTTACGGGGGAGGACAGTGGTTGGAAAAACTACACTATTTTTGTAGTTTTCTACAACTACTTTGTTACAAATGTTTGTTACTTTGTTACAACTACTTTTTTTAATGTAGTGATTACAAACTACTTTGGAATTGTAGTAACTACTTCGCTATTTTAAGGAGAAGAACTTACACAGAATGTAAGGAAATAATTAAGGAAGCCAGTTTGTTATTCCTAAACATTTTTCTCGACTTTGTTCATTTGATCTTCAACTTTTTTTGCCCTTCTCGACAGCGAATATTTAATCTAAGAACTGCTAAATTATTAAATACTTGAAATTTTTTTGAAGGTGTAATGTTCTTTTATTTCCTCCAAAAAATTGAGTGCATGGTAAATACGTTCCCTTCCGTTTAAATAACATTAATGTTTCACGAGCGTGCATTTGCACTGTGACCAAAATGATTAATTATCTATTTTCTGTAATGGCTAGTTTAAATATTAGTTGATTTCAAATACGTAATTCTTGTTAATGCTCAACTGCAGTCATTTTCATTGCATCCATTGACGCGAGGATTTGTACCAATCAAATTCGAAAAACTAGTTGTGTTGGAGCCGTGTTTTTTTACTATACTATCGTTGAAAGTAGTTTCCCGGAATCGCTAAAAACTATTGTTTTTTCGTATCTCACTACATTACTTTTTTTGAGAAAAAAAAGTAGCTGTCTACACTACGACCTACGAAAAAAGTAGCGAGTACAGTAGTTTCACTACTTGAAGTGCTCTATTTCCAACCCCTGTGTGAGGATTACTGAATCGAATCCTTGAATTTACTTTATAATTATTTGATGTAGAAAATAACTAAATTTTCTTTTGTAGGGATATTATGATCAATACAATCCAAATGTCAATGCAGGCATTCGAGCAGCTTTCCAATCAGCAGCTTTCAGATTTGGTCACAGTTTACTTCCAGATGTCATTGAACGCTACAATAAGTTCCACGAGAAAATAGGTATTGAAATATTAGAAGAACAAGTGAAACAATTATTGTTCACAATGCAACTATGATAAATTGTTATACATTTATGAACAATATTTAAAATATATGTAATTATGAATAACCGAAATTGGTTGTTGACTTCCACCGGTGAATGTTGACAATCACAGAGTCGCTTTGGTAAATGTCCGATATATAAACTAGATCTAGTTAAGTGCTACTTCCCGGTATACCCTACACTGATGTTTCTCCTAATTTATCCACAGCAGATAGTAAAATATCGAATAAATACAATAATATCAACGAATAAATTAACATCAAATCGGATATAAGAAATATTTCGAACATTCATCAAAGCAACTATGTGAGTGTTGACATTCAACGGTGAAAGTCGAAATTTTTTTTTATTACAGTCATTCACGGTGAGATATATTTTGAAACTTTCTTACTTTGAGTAGTTAAGCAGTTACTTTGAGTTGATAGGTGAACCCTATATGTGAACATTACACTGCACAGTGGGACCAAAATCAATTTTTGTGGTCAACAATGGAAAGAATGAAGTATTTACAAGAATTACTTTTAACATGATTTTTTTTTTTTTTTTT